CATCCGGATTTCAACTTTAGTCGTCAGCCTGCTCAGTTTGGTATATATAACCCTATATCTGACTCTTTTAGTTTTAGGACTTACAAACAAGCGTTATGTGAACAAAACTATAATACTCTCTTTAGCAACTTTGTTGCGAGAGTATAAAAAAAGTATTATTTCCTACTTATATATTTTATTTGGTTTTTTAATATATCTTTAATTAATGTCATAATAATTGGTTTGTGTTTTCGATTTTTGTTTTGTTTTTGTTTTATTCAACCAACTAGCTGTTACAAATGCCCTCCCGCTGAGTGTATATACATTTGTACAAGTATATATGTATAAAATCACGAATAGCATGCATCTGATCTTACTGATTTATATACAAACAGCAAAAACAAGATAAAACCAAAGCGCTAAGCACACACTGCCTCAAAAATTATATCAGAATCAGTCGAACAGACTTCGTTTGGCCTTTGATTAGTTTGTAGGGTTGCCAGGTATAGATATGTTTATGAAAATGGGGTCTGAAATTCATTCATACAAGTATAAACTATCTGATCAAGATCAATTTGCAGCAGTGCGTTAATAAAGGAATTTCCCAGAGGGGAACCTTTTTTATGTTCGTGATCTTCATACTATATGTTAATTGGAGGCAGCTTGTTGTTTATAACGTAGAATGCTTGTCTGGACATTTTTACCATGAAAAAAAAAGAACGAGTTGGCTTGCTATTGTGTGTTTCCATTGGGATCTCAGTTACAGAACTATTGGAAATGTTGCCAAAATGTCTGGGGGGTCACAAACACAAATATTTGGGAGGCACAAAGAATCCAGTGAAAGTAAACGAAAACTTGCATCTTGCTCGTTTTCCACTCACCTCTATTAATGCCGACAATATAGAAAAAGTTACATAAAGAGTGAGATTGTAAAGCACTTCACATTTGGTTGATGTTTTGAGTAAGAAGCGTGTCAATTCAAGACTCATACGAAAAAACCTGAATCTTTGAAAAAACTATGTTGCTTAGATGTTAGAAATGAGTTGATTGACAACCTCGCTGAAGACTTTAATCAAACGCATTAAACCCAAAGGCAAGACGTGGATTTTTACATACAAGTTGATACTGATAATTTTTTTCTTTTATCGTGGTATGGTTCACCATGAATTCGTTCCTTAGGAACCTTTTTGCCAAGATAATGCGCCGTCACACTCCACTATGTTTGTGCCTGACTTTTCGGCAAAACTATATTCGCCAGACTTGGCTTCCTGTAATATTTTTCTGTTTCCCAAACTGAAAAATCCGTCTGTCGGGGGATTGGAATAAATACTGCAAAGCAGCGGAAATTGTTTTTCACAATGTATTTTCAATTCATGGTAACCCTGTACTTTGCTTACTCGTTGGGTTGGTCAATTTGTGTATTTTCCCTACTTGCGTGACTTTGTTGTTGTTCTCTTGTTTTTTAATTTTTTATTTGCGTTGCACTTGTGTACATGAGTTTGTGTAATTGTTTTTGTTTTTACCATTTTAGTTCTAAGTGTATTTTATTGTTTTCACTGCAGCTGCTTATGACAAAGCAATTAAACAATTCCTACAAATATAACGATGACACTGGCCTAAAATAAATATATATTTATAACCATAAACGTTGCCTTAAAAGGGAGCAACAAAAACAATGTCAATAAATATACATACAAACGTATACAGAAGCAAGATTAGACGCTACTTATTGAGCATGAAAATAAAAGTAAATATAGCATTTATGTATGTATGTATGTACATATGTTTCTCTATGTGTAAAATATGCATTTAAAAGCAACAATTGCAAAGATTTAAATTGGTAAACAAATAAAAACAACAATCGCATGTATCAATATGGAAATGTAAGTATGTACGTTCATATGTATATGTGCGTGTATGCGTGTGAGGTAAGTGGATTGATTATCAAATTTACCTACATACATATTTACACAAGTATGTGTGTATGTATATGCCAGTTCGCTCAATCACACAATTTGGATCACTCGCTTGCACACTCGCACTTATGAAATACAAAACAACAGCAACAAAGCAAACGTCAGCAAAAACACAAATTTTCATAAAGGCTAATTTTGAAAAATCTTAAATGCAATTTTCGTAGAGATTTCGGTCATATCAGTCGTATACATAATATTTTTTTTTAATTTGATTTTTTTTACCTTTTTTTTTTTGTTTTCTAGCCTTAGTTCTTTGTTTTGCTTTGCACACACTTCTTTGCTGCCGAGCAGAGAGCTAAACAACTTATTTATTTATTTCTGCGGATACTTAAAACGCGAGCACACAAACTAGACTGGATCCACTGACTCGGAATCGCACTCACCTCGACTCGGTTGCGATGCACAGCAAACACTGAACTGAACTTTGCTATGCAGCGCTGAGCAACTGAACGTTTTGTGTATGCCCAAACCTCCACATTTCTGTAATTTTGTGTGTATAAATGCATATACAAAAACACACACGCTCATATACATATGTACATGCATTTGTACCTACAGATGTTTTTAAACATATAGATATGTTTGACAATTTGGATGTCAGCAAATGCCCTGTAGGGAAAACTAAAGCTAAACCGAAGGTAAAGAAAATATTGTTTATATATTTTTGATGAAGATTAAGGGGTTATATAACAATAAAAAAACGAGTTTTTTCTGACATCCAAGTAGAACTCTCTGTTGGTGCGTCTAAATTTATAATTTTAAAATCACTAATTGACAGTTTCCGGTTCATAAACATTCGTGTTTTCAGAATTACTTCTTTTAAAAAGCTTTGACTTACAGTTTTTCTTATTCTCGACAATATAGTACATACATATTTACTTTTCTTTTAGATAAGTTTAAGTTGGAGAAGTTATACCAAAATTGATGCAAAGTACCACTTTGAGGCAGTCCGGTTCCCTACAGGGAGATTTTATATACAATAAAATAGGTAAATAAACATCTTTTATATACATGCATACACAGATATGTACATATCTATATGCGATACCTTTGTTACTTACATACATATGTATATAAAAAGCAAACAAAATAGAAACAAAAACAAAAGCAATTTTATACTGGAAACTGGGGAAATGACGGAAAAGCAAATAACCAAGGACAAACTTGTAAGGTAGAAGTAGAGAGAAAAAAAACCTAAACAAGAACAAAAGTAATGGAACAGCTCAAAATGAGCACAACAGCGTAGTCATATATTTGTAAATAGGTATGTAACTGCATACATATGCGTCTATATAACAAAAAGGCTTCAAATTTCCCAACATAGCACCCAAAGAACAGCTGGAGGTGGAATTGGGGAAATGCAATTGCATGTATGCGTGTGTGTATGCATGTATCTGAGCAGATGTAAACAGAAATGTTGCAAGAGAAATGCGCCTGAGTATAGAACTGCAGCAGATAAACATTTGAGCAGCTGTTTTGTCAGGGTTGCCAAAGCCGAGATTAACCAAAAATTTTTTGTGTGAGTATAAACTTTGATATGAAATTATATATATTTATATTTATTATTATATATAGATTTGTAAATATGTTAATTTTTTTTTTGTAAAATCAATATATAAAGTGAATATTAAGCATAACAGAGCTATTTATTTATGTATTCGAAAATACTTACATACATATGCATGTACATATAACATAAGATAAGAAAGAGATGGTAAAAACATAGAACAAGGAAAACAACAAGAAAGCAACGAAGTTATTACACCGCGTAATGCGCGAAACACAATGCTAGCGACAGACTGCAAACGACATCTGTCAAATATTAAAATACACACGTTCTTATGGACGGCCCTATTTTGACAGCTGCATGGCTACACGACGGCAGGCCGACAGTTGTCGTTCTCGCTAACTTCAATTTTATCCTATATTTGCCAACGACAGTAGGACGACAGTGG